TTATACATTTAAGATTATAAAATCTACTGTGCATCAAGCAGTTTATCCCATTGACCTTACAATATACAATAATGCAAGAAGTAATGTGTCTCATTACAAAATAGGGTTTCCCAAAGCAGTTCTAAAATTCAGCTGATTATCAATGACCTATGCTGTTAATAATTACAGTAATTTGGCAGTTTGATTGCTTGAATTAAAAACAAAAGGTCTAGGACTCAACAGAAAGAAATATTTCTTAACATCAAATATTAAAGATAGTTTGAAGCATTCATACAATTAAAGGTTTTAGAAAGTTTAAGAACCATTTTTGGTGTCAATGTTCTATATATTGACTATTTAAGATTTTAAGTCTATTTTTGCCATTGATAAACTGTGACTAAAATATGTTTTTCAGTGTCGCTGTCTTTTACAAAAGAATATGCAAATACATTCACAATTTTGCCATGACGCAATGGCGATGGCTCAAAATGTTTTATTTGGAATTGGTAGAACTATATTTATATATACATCAACAATGATGGTTTGTCCATAAGGTTTGTCCTATGGGCGCCCTTCATACGGGTCGACAAATATTGATATTTTCGAAAAAAAAAATTAAATTCTGCCTACCCGTTATTCACAATATGAAGCTCCAACGATCTGGCATCATTTACAACAAGTTGCACACTTGAAAAACCAAAATTGACTGCATAAAAGAGGGTTTATTGTCAACTTTGTCCATTTCCGCAATACAAAATATACAAATTATCACGCTCCGTGGGAACGACCAATATGGCCGCCGCACGTAAACTGCGACTGCGATCAGGCTTCAATTTTCGCCTGCCTACAGGGAGGGATGCGCTATCTAGTGTATATGAGATATCTATGGTCTTTCCCCGTTTGAAATTCTTAGCGGGATGTGGCCAGTTTAGTGATTTTAGTAATATTATACATTGTAGTTCTTTGCACGCGTTTTGATTTGTTTAATAGCTTACAGGTAAATATGGCAACACGCAACCTACACATAACATAGTTATTTACTAGCAGATAATTGAGTTATGTGTACGTTGAGCCAGCCGTATATAATTTTATTGGCAAGCGGCAGTTTTAAATGCACGAAAAAGCCACGAATACAAAAAAAAAACAAGAAAAGGTTTTTATGCAAAAAGAAGACTTTTTTGGCGTTTTATCGGAACTTTAGTAGGTAAATGAGTTTTCCAATATTTTTGTGCCGTTATTTTAATATTTTAAGATTCGTTTTCACTGCTGCTCTTGAGAAGCGAATGTTGTGACAAATCATTGTTTGTCGAAAGAGTTAATGAAAATGCAATGGCCAATGTATAATAAAACAGTTATTGAATTCGGTTGTTGTGATATCCCAAATTATCAAAGTCTCGGTATATCAATCTCGCCTTCGGCTCGACTGAACTCAGTACGTAGTAGGTAAATGAGTTTTCTAACATTTTTATACTGTTATTGTGATACTGTATTTAAAATCGTTTTCACTGCAATGTTCTTGAGAACCAAATGTTATTTTTTGCGACATATAAGGAAAATGCATTGTATAATAAAACAGTTATTGAATTTCGGTTGTTGTGATATATCACTGAATTTCCGCTTCTGCTCGACTGATCTCTACCTTGATAATTCTGGATATCACAAAATCCTCGTCCAATATATAACTGTTTGTAAATAAACCAATGGATTAAGAACCACTCGCCTGAACTTCTGAAGTGTAGGCAATTGAAAACACGGTAATTGCTAGATAGTATACTTCAAAATAAGGTTTCCGTTTTTATAACGTAGAAAAAACCATCCTAACGCAAAACTAAGCCCTAACCCTAAAGCCCCGTTTACACTACGCTCAATTTTTGGTACGGCACGGATAAAATTGGTACCCGTACCACTTTTTTAGTTCTTGGACTACCTATTTAGGTAGTCCAAGAACCAAAAAAGTGGTACGGTACCAAAAATCGAGCGTAGTGTAAACGGGGCTCAAAATATAGGTAGTCCAAGAACCAAAAAACGGGTACGGGTACCAATTTTATCCGTGCCGTACCAAAAATTGAGCGTAGTGTAAACTGGGCTTAACACTAACCCTAACCCCAACCTTAACCCTAACCTAACCCTAACTTATTTTAAAAATTGATATAAAACGGAAACCTTATTTTGAAGTATACTATCTAGCAATTACCAGTTGTGAACACCCGAAATGCAAGAACCGCAGGGACCGCGCAGCACATTCTCGTTTGGGGGAGATAAAACTCTGCTTTGAAATCACGGGGGCACGCTTAAAACTGCGACACTGTGGAAGCCCAAAATATGTTTCACTTTCCAAAACTGATAATTTTTCGGGCCAACGTCTAAATATTTCAACCTTGAAAGCAATGCTAGCCGGTATAGCCAGCTGAGCATGCGATTAATAGCATATATTGCAGTAGTGTAACCCCCCCCCCCCGCCCGCTTGCGCGATCCCTGAACCGCTTTAGGCTGCCAAATAAGAGGGTGTTGATCAGTGGGGTATATCAGCCTCGTACCCAGGCGCTATGTGTTGTTCTATGGCTTACGTGGCCTTGCGTGGGCTGCGTGGATTAATTTTATCAATTTCGTGCAATTTCGTCAGTCCATTTTCTCCCACGCGCGTCGTCCCGCGTTCGTGTCGCGCGACGGTGTAGCCACAACAAAGCGCCTGGGTACGAGGCTGGGGGTATATCGTGATCGAGTCGTGATTCACTCAATTTCGATTACCGTCAGTCGTGAAAACACTAATTTACCGTGAAGCGTGAGGAAAAAATACTGTTTATCGTTTCAGAACACTTTTCAAAGATTTACCGTTAAAATACCAAAATTTTACCGTTAAAATACTAATTTTTTTACCGTTTACTGATTTTCAGCCCCCATTTAGACCCTCAAATAAGAATGCATGTTCTCGGCAATATAATGACTTAACGAATATATAAGATCTGATATTATAACATCAAATGTTATAACATGAAACTTTTCTAGGTAACTTTTCTAGGTAACTTTTCTATAATTCTATTAGAGCAAAAGACCGCCTGGCTCAAAGGAACAATAAGCTTTTTATATTATTACTGTATACTTATTTAAATGTATGAATATTACTTCGTATAGTAATTAGTAATTAGTAATTTAATTAGTAATTTCTATTATATATGTTTGTATAGTAATGTAATCGTAATTTTTTCCAAATAAACAGTTGTATTTTAGTTATGATAGACGAAGAAACAATAGCCGAATTCATATTAGAGACGGGAAACTCGTCTTAGACGGGAAACTCGTCTCAGACGGGAAACTCGTCTAATATGAATCCGGGCGCAGACGAGTTTCCCGTCTGAACTTTCCCGTCTAACTTACCCGTCTAAACAGCAAGGGTGGGTTGACTACAAAATTTTTGTAGTTCGCTATAACTACAGCTACTTCAAAAATATGTAGTCAGCTACAACTACTGCTACTTTTGAACAAAGGTAGTTCGCTACTGACTACAGCTACTGCTTAAAAAATGTAGCGAACTATTTCGCTATTTCACTACTCTATATTTTTTAGTTTTACGGTATTTGGAGCATCCACTATAGCTCAGGCTGTAATATCACCTATAACAAGTCGACTTACGAGTAGCAACAGAAAACAAAAAGGGTCAAAGCAACATTTCTGTAAGCACTACAGTGTTCAGGAGTGCCACTTTTCATTGCGCTAAAATAATCTTTACTGTATAAAATAATCTTTTAAGCAAACCGTGTCTTAATTCATTTTATTCTATGAACGGTTGCTAACAATTTTAAAAAGTAGCGAATAGCGATTCGCTGTTTGAAAAGTAGCCAACTATTTGGCTACTTTTAGGCAAAATGTAGTTCGCTATAACTACGACTACTGTTTTAAAAAAGTAGTCAAAAACTACTGGCTACTTGAAAATTGTAGTTCGCTACAGTAGCGAACTACAACTACTTCGCTACTATCCACCCTTGCTAAACAGACGGGAAAGTTAGACGGGAATCTCGTCTAGACGGGAAACTCGTCTTAAATTCGAATTTACCCGTCCCTAAATTCATACTCAGACGGGTTTCCGCAGACGAGTAAGAGTTTCCCGTCTAAGACGAGTTTCCCGTCCCTAATATGAATTCGGCTAATGGAATTTTATTCCGCATAACACTTTTGTAAATAATATACAGTCGAAATTAATTCAATATGTTTCCTTCTGTATATGTAATATGCAATGATACTATACAGTAAAAACCAGAGAGTAAAAACTGAACTATGTGTTTAATTTTGTAATTTCGCACTATTTTAGGGGGGCTCCTAGCGATATATTGTTTTCATGTAATGGTATTAATGATAATAAAAATTTTATCTCAATTTTATCTTTCGATTCTTGATGCACAAGTGCATGCGTAATGTCTGAGCCCACAGATAGGAATTTGAATTGAATTCTTTATTTTCTGAAACAAATATGTAAACAAAACACGCGCATGAGCAGAACGGACCTGACTGCCACATTTATAAATTTTTACTCTTATCTGTGACTGTTCATACGTGGATGCAAACGACGGTACTACAATTTTTGGCACAATGTTTTGGCGTGTCCAATATGTTTATACTACACGAAGTACAGAAAAAATGTTATGCTTGATTAACGATATTCCTTCCTGTTTATGAAATTTTCTTGTAATTTTCCAAGAAGAAATAATGCCTTTTTAACGGTATTTCTCTAAGCATGGGATGAAAAACCACTGATTTTGTTGTCCACGATGGTAAACGATGCTTCCAACAAATTGCAGTGTTGAAAATGGTGTTGAGTAAATCGTTCAGTGTTTACAAGCGCCTGAACTCAACTCAAGCGGTGTCGGTTTTGCTTGAGAAAAGAGACAAGCCTGAGTCTTTGCTGTTTGAGAGTGGTGCTGTTGCTGAATTAGGTACGTTGTTGTCTTGAAAATATGATTGCTTGGTTGCCCAGTTTCTTGTAATAATAAAATATAACAATTATAATAATTAATAGTATCAAATTTAATATTTAACCAAATAAATTATGCTCAAAATGTCAACTTGACACGTAAAATTGTCTGGCACTAGACAGTAATAATATAATCAAGGGTATGCAATAATAATTGTAATAGCAGGTGGCATTTTAAAAGTAGGTGACTGTGCTTGCAATTTCCAGATGAAAGGCAAATATGAATAATTTTGCAAAATACAAAGTGGTTGTTAGAGACCTATTAGCTTTGAAAACATTGTTTTGACAGAAAACATTGTTTTGACAGCAAGACAGGGTGTTAGCCTGTCATTTTGCAACTTGGATCTGAATGTATGCCCCATCTCTTAAGTGGCATTCTCATGGCTTAGCACAAGGGGTAGATTGGCTGAGTTTATAGCTGACACCAAGGTGCATTCCATGTAAACTTCACACCGAAGATAATCTGAGGTAGTGTTGTCGTGCGCCAAGTGAGGTCAACTTGTGCGCCGGCTGATCGTGGGCACCGTGATTTTTCATTAATAGTGGGTAAAAATATAAACTTGCCATAAACGCGTGTAGTTGATTAATAAGATGTTTTGCTCATGAGCAATGATGAGTGTTGTTACTATTGTATCACAAGTTATAACTACCATTTAGTATTATAATATAGCATTTGTAAATTCTGAACGCTGATTGGCTAAGAGCCGTGTTGATATAACTCCATGTCAACACGGGAAATTTTCCGCCGCTTGTAAACACGGAAATTTTTCTTATTCTTCGGGCTTTTGACATTGCTATATTATAAAACAAATATAAAACATTTTTTCCGTATTGATATATATAGTTCTATCAACACTCGTGGAAGTTGGGAAAACTCGAAATTGTATGAAAACACTCCGCCCTTCGGGCGTCGTGTTTCCACACAATTTCTCGTTTTCCCAATTTCCACTCGTGTTGATATAACTGTATATCAACACGGAAAATGTTTTATATTTGTTAAATATTACACTGACCAGGAACACAAATTTTTCGAGTCCCTAAACTTAAAGAATTATAGAGGCCAATCCAATCACTAGGAGATTATTAATACTCAAAGTCTCGCTTAAACATTTGATGCTGCGCCAACCTCGCAAAACTCAAAACTTGTGCGCCAACCTCGATGTGATTGTGCGCCAACAATTCAAAATTACTCACGCCGAAGATCTTCCACAAAACGTACATGGAATGCACTCCGGAGCTGACATGTATTTTTTTGCATACTAGAAACAGGCAAATGTATTTTAGGTTATAATACAGTAGATGGCATTCCAGCCATGCAGTGTGCTAGCCTTAGGGCGCTTTCCATTTAATGGCCTGACCGGCCAGACCCAAATTTTTGTCTCGGTATCAATGGAAAGATCTGGCCTATGTTTCTCAAATATGTAGCAGAAATGGACCTCATTCTAATTTTATCAAAATATTCCGGTCAGATAGGTCCAATGCCCAAACATTTTGTCTTCATTCAACAATTTGGCCGTTCTGACCGGTCTGGCCGTGTTAATGGAAACGCCCTTAATATTATAAAATTTGTCAATTTATGAAATTGTGACTGGAGTTGAAGGAATATTGTGTTTCTTAAGTGACGTTCTCGTGGTCTAGCTAAATTGAAACGTTTGAAGTGCAAGTCACCTGTCAATCGTTTTTTTGCGTACTAAAAACAGTACAAATATATATTTTAGGCTATATGACATCCTCGTAACACTTTCTGCTGACCAATTTTTCTTGAGCAAAGTTCTGAAGTTGAACAATCTTTTATATACATAATAGTTATGTTTTTGGCTGATCTAAGGAACGGACCATTATTTTTTTGGAGGGGGGGGATGGAAAATTCTTAAAAAAATTATTTGCAAAGACAAAAAAGTGCAAATAAATTGTTTGCACACACAAAGAGGAAAAAAATAGTTTGCAAGCTGATGAGATTATGCAACATCAACTAAAGTTCAATACAATGAACAGAGCGCTCACCGACATACCCAGGGTCTTCACCCCAAAAGCCCTGGGATGAGAGACGCTGGGCACATGTCACAATCTACATATGGGTTATAAATATTAATCTATTGAATACAGTCATTTTTTGGGTTGTTTTTTTCTGTATAAAATAGGTAATTGGACAAGTACTGGTGTAAGACATTGTGTGGCATAAATAATGAGAGGACCAGTATCAAGGCCTTTTTTAACATACATAGGAGGGGGGTGGGGGGGGGTGGCTAATGTTCCCTTATGCCCCCACAAAATCACATTCCCTCCCAAGAAAAGTCCCTTTTTCCTAAATTTATACAAACAAACCAGCAAAAAATAACAAATTGATAAACAAAAAGTAAGTTTTAGGCTTTGTCCTTTGTCCTTGTTTAACAAAATCGATTTAAATTGTTATGTTTTTCTACCACTAAAATTTTCTGGGGGAATATGCCCCCATACCATGTGGCCTTCAGCCATTCCTATCCCACTCTAATATATTATCTCACAGAAGGGTCCCTTTTCAAAAAATGCCCCCTCCCCCACAGGAAAATCCTTAAAAAGGCCCTGACCGGTATACCTAAAAAAACTATTAAATGTCTATAAGTTCTTTGTATGTTTGCATGGCGAAAAATATAATAGTTTTGTTTGTGGAAACACAAATAAGTTGCAGTAATAAATTTACGTGGTGTTTCCACAAACAAAACTATAATAATTATTATTATTATTAAAAGTCTGTTTACATATTAAATTTATTCTTCTGACAACACCACATTTTGTTTAATCACACATGCAATAGTGTAATCGGGCACAAATTAAACTATATGAAAATTATATCAATTTAATAATGAAATCCACAGCGATCAGATGGACAAAATAAATTGTTTGCAGAAGGAAGCAGGTGCAAAAAATTGTTTGCAATGACAACAGCACCAAAAAAAATTGTTTGCGTTGACAAAATGTCCATCCCCCCCTCCAAAAAAATAATGGTTCGTCCCTAAATTGTGAAATTGCTGGCTAAACGTAATTGTGAAAATGGCATATGACGCTGAATTTTTGACTGTAGGTAACATATCCCGCATCCTCACAAAACTCATCTGGTTTCCGATTTGCCTTGAGCTGAATTTTGAAGTTGAAAAATCTTATATTTTAATCTTGTAATCTGGTATCTTGCCGGATAGCAAAAATTAGTCCGATATCTGGTATTCTGGTGTACCCCTACTTTGTGTATGATTATTTACAATGTTCAATATTAGGGATGAGCCGATACCAGAAAAAAGCCGATTTGCCGATCCGATATAAAAAAATAATCGGCCGATTAAATATCGGCTATGGCCGATATTTCTGTATACCAGGGTACAAGCGCCGGATAACGGTTTTTTGACAACTTTTAATACTTGTGTATACGCCACAAATTGACGTACTAGTTTTAGTGTGTTCCGGAAAACATAGACGGATTTTCATATTTATTACTGGGGTGGTGCCAGAAATTTTAGGGGAGTGAGCCGTGAGCAGGTGACTGAGGCAACACAAAGTGTCACCAAACCCCAGTAAGGTCTATATTGTAGGGGTGGAGCACTAGAGCCGCGAAGGGGAGTCTAGAGAGCAGAAAACAAAGTATCCCAGGAAAAGTTTGAAAAAATCATGATTTCTAGCTTCGAAAAAAGTTTTTTGAAGTTGTCAATTTGTCATATCAATGGATTTGGCGTGTCCGATAGTCTGTTAAGACTTGAGAGAATTAAAGACTTTAAGTTAAATGAACCTATAAAAGTGTAAACCCAATAGGCCAATACACAACATGCTTTTACTTTTATAAAGTCATTGACATTGTCTTGTTTGAATCTGAGTACATTTATGATGCAACTCCGATGTAAATAATAAAGATTAAATCTAGGCAAGTCTATTTCTTAAAAGAATTAAAAACTAAAAATTAGTGTTCGTAAAAATTCCAATCATTCCTTGCGTGCAAGCTACTGTATTCGCATGACAAGGCACTTCAAACTCTATTCAGGGAAGTAGTAGAGCTTCAAAACTTTACAATTGCTCCAATAAACCAGTGAATGCAAGCGGCATTTAATGCCGCTTGCATTCACTGGTTTATTGGAGCAAAGCGATTAGTTTCAGAGTGTTGCACTGTCTTTTTCTGTTCGAGTGTACTCAGACTACGTTTACTTTGTATGATCAACACTCTGCACGTTGGAGTGGACTATTTAATTATTTATTTATTATGCCGAATATTGGGGGGGGGGGTTGAAATTTTTTTGGAGGGGTGAACATTTTGTTGGGGG